ATGTATGTTTGCATGTATGGGTAAATATGTATTAAAAGTTTATGATAGGGGCGCCTGGGTGGCGCAGTCGGTTAAGCGTCCGACTTCAGCCAGGTCACGATCTCGCGGTCCGGGAGTTCGAGCCCCGCGTCGGGCTCTGGGCTGATGGCTCAGAGCCTGGAGCCTGTCTCCGATTCTGTGTCTCCCTCTCTCTCTGCCCCTCCCCCGTTCATGCTCTGTCTCTCTCTGTACCAAAAATAAATAAACGTTGAAAAAAAAATATTAAAAAAAAAAGTTTATGATAGCATTTAATTGTAAGTAGGTATTTGGATGACAGCCTGTAAAAATAACTACTGACTTTGTTATAACCTGCCTTTTTCACATAACCGTTTATGATGAACGTCTTTGCATTTGAAAAAAAAGTCTGCCCACACCTTTCTTCTCTACTTTCTTATCATAAAATACAGCCTGTCTGAAACAGAAAATGCATCAAACGTTACGCGTGCAGGAGAGTGGAATAATTATAAAATGAACGTCCGAGAATATACAGCACCCACCTGGGCCAAGACAGGGAACACGACCACCCCATGGGAACCCTCACCGCTATCCCCAGCATCCACGAGGCAAGGAGGTTGTTCCTAACAACATCTAATATTTATCCCGTTGCATGGATGGGACAACGTTTCGTATAATATTTCTAGCAAGCATAGCTAATACCGATTTAGCACAAAGGTACCGGGGGCTGTTGGAAACCGTTTGCGTGTAATAATGTTAACCTTCGCCACATCTCCAAGACGTAGGGTACTGTTTTTACCATCCCTGCTTCATAAGTGGAAAAACCAAGGCAGAAAACATATGAAGTCATTTGCCCAAGATGCCCAGCGAGTAAGGGGTAGGGCTGGAAACCAAATCGGGGCGGTCTAGCTCCCAAGTACGTTCCTCACCACCGTGTCTGGATGGCCCCCAAACCCACATTCTTCTCCCAAAACCACCAAGTGCCTTCTAAAGCCAAGGGGCTCTGCACACATTTTTATGTGATGTCGGTGGGGAGCAGCTTGGAGCTAACATTCTAGCCAGAGGGACCCAGACAACCAGAGACAATGCACCTGGCTCTCTGTCCTCGTCTTGTGACTCTGAATCCAGTCTCACTGCAACCACACCTCCTCTGCTGAAAGGGAAAAGGGCCTCTCGCTGATGAGATCACCTCCTCCCTGGCCACCCCTCCCCCACCGCCAGGGGCAGTGAGGCTGAGCTGCCTGAAGCGGTGATAATGGGTTTAATCATTAGGTGAGTGACCAAGGGAGGCTTCCTGTGGCTGATGATTAATAGGAGCCCGGGAAGGTGTGCGTGTTCGGCCACAGGCTGGCGTTTTGGGGTGCCAGGCCAGCTCGGTCTCTTGGTTTCTGGAGTCACCCGCATGATTCAGAGTCTAGGCTGGCTCCCTTGACTCAGCGCTCGGCTGGGGGGCTTGGCCTCCCACCTCTGGGGCACCCCAGGCGCTCCTCATTTACATCATCTTCTCCCAGGCCGTCTGCAGGGACTGATGCTGCTAGTCAAGGAGACCTGGGTTTATATCCTGGGAGACCGTGGCTAGATTGTCTAACCTCTTAGAACCTCACCTTGAGATGGGCGTGACATCTGAGCTGTGGGGAGGGCTGCAGACACGCAGCGACCCACTGTTAGGATCAGTCACTCTGAGGCTCCCACGGTGCACTCTGGCTGCTGGAGGGCTTGACTGCCTCCGTCCCTTTGCACATGCTGTTCCCTTGGACGCGCTTGTCTTTTCCTGGCCTCTCACCCTTTTCTCCACTGTGGGGCGTGACAGTCGTATGAGGAGGTATGATTTATTGCGGTATTAAATAGTGGGATTCTCCTCTTTATTTTTGCCGCAGGGCTCTAGGGAAGGACCTTGGCCCCTTTGAGCCCTCTCCATCCGGAGGTAAGATGACTGGGCTCAACGCAAGACACGGACCTTGCAGGCGTTTGCTTGGGGAATGGCTGAACTGAGAAAGATTTTGTTCCAAGAATACCAGAAGGGAAGGGGAGAAGCTGGAAGGGGGGGAAAGGAAGACCCCTCTGCCAGGGGTGGGGGCAGGACCTGGGGTTCCATTAGCAGCAAGGACCCTTGACGCTGTGTCCTGAGGCGGAAGAGGGGCCACGGTATCCTCACCCACCCTCTCCAGAGGGTCCCGGAGAAAGCGCCAGAAAACAGTGGAGGCAGGTCTGGGGGGGCGGCCTCCTGAATGCCCGGACCTGCCCTCACGCCATAGCCAGGAGCCACGGGCGGCTACTTGTAAACTAATTCCAATGCGATGACATTTAAAAGTCGTCATATTTCAAGGGCTTGGTAGCCCCACGTGCCCAGTGGCCACTGTCCTCTCGCCAGCACACACGATGGAACTCCAGCATGGCAGAAAGTTCTAGCAGATGGTGCCAATGAGCACAGGGCAGCCCCCCAGGGAGCATCGGGAAGCAAACTTTGTCCACTCTACCAGTTTTCAGGGACAGCTCGAACGATTTCTAGTATTCCAGTTCGTGGGGATTTTGCGGCCACCTTATTCTTGGAGGCACCTCTGTGGGTCACTTCTGAGGCCTTCCAGGATGCTCTTTTGAGGTGAAACTTTCACTATGCACCCCGAAGAAGGACGTAGGATGCCCACCTCCCGCTGAGACCTCATTTTCTTTTTCTTTTTTCCTGTCTCAGTCAGTAGAGCTTGCAACTCTTGATCTTGGGGTCATGAGTTCGAGCCCCACATTGGGCATAGAGATTACTTAATAATAAAAGTAAATTAAAAAAAAAAAAAGAAGCCTCATTTTCTTTTTCTAATGTTTATTTATTTTGGGGAGAGAGAGAGAGACAGAGCACGAGCAGGGGAGGGGCAGAGAGAGAGGGAGACACAGAATCAGAAGCAGGTTCTAGGCTCTGAGCTGTCGGCACAGAGCCCGACGCGGGTCTCCAACCCACGAACTGGGAGATCAGGACCTGAGCCGAAGTTGGATGCTTAACCGACTGAGCCACCCAGGCGCCCCGAGAGGCCTCGTTTCCTATTGCAATTTTGTCTCTTCTCTTTGGGTGCTAGCTAGCTCTTTGAGAAAAATCTCCTGGTCACTGGCATACCCCCGGCTGGCACACAGTAGGTGCCTAATAAATGCTGACAAGATGGACGGATGGATATGTTACCAGAAGGCAGGCTGGTTTGGGGCATCTGGCTTTGATCTCCAACATAACTGGGTTTCAACCTCATCAGTTCCAGGAAATCTTTGCTGATTACAACCTCCAGCTCTGGGCAGAATCATACGGGTTTTAGAGCCAGAGAACTCTCTGTAGTGATCCCAGATTTCTCCATTGCTTTCTTAGGTTCACAGAACAGGCTTTGGGGTGACAGCTAGGAGAGCTGAGAGATCATTGACCAGAAAGTGGGGAGGGGAGGGGAGGGGAGGGGAAGCCGAAACTCAATAGACCAAAGAGGAGGAGAAAGGCCGATGTACGTGGGGTATTTGGGGTAGACAAGCCCTTCTGGGTGCACAGCACGGGTGCGGGTATCACTCAGCCCAGCCGGAGCCCCATCTCACTGCTTCTCTGACATCTCAACCCTGCCCATGCTTGCCTGCGTGCTCGGTCACGTCCTCCTCGTCCGCTGCGTCCCCCACGCACGCTGCGTCAGCCTCCCAAGATGCAGGTAAGCCTCTGGCCAGGGCCCAGGTGCTCTCCCCTGCTGGGAGGTGGTGACTGTGCCCGCCACTGCCCCTCCTCCCCACGAGTAAAGAAAGCCCCTCTTTTCACACTCGGGCACTCACTTTGTCTTTGAGCGTTTCCCACTAGGTATTAGAGAGGTATCAGCCGACCACACAGTTTTGTGGCACTTTAATCTTCTTCCAAGAAACATTTGAAACAGCCTTGCTTGATTGACTGATGATTCATTCATCCATCCATCCATCCATTCATTCGTTCACCCACTTGTCCCACAATATTGCCTACTATGAGCAACGTGTTCCGCCGTTTCACTGAATGCTGGAAGGTCCAGGAACTGATGAGGAAACCCCGCCCTTGACCTCTGGTCGGGCAGGTAGATGGGTAGTAATCATCGCGATTATAGCTTCCACTCACTGCGTGCTGATTCCCCGCGGGTCCTGTCCTAAGTGCTTTCTATATTGGAAGCCTCCGAACATCCTTACGTGGGAGATACTTTTGTGATTCCCATTTTATAAATGAGGAAAATGGGCGCAGAGAACTTTTTTTTTTAATTTTTTTTCAACGTTTTTTATTTATTTTTGGGGCAGAGAGAGACAGAGCATGAACGGGGGAGGGGCAGAGAGAGAGGGAGACACAGAATCGGAAACAGGCTCCAGGCTCCGAGCCATCAGCCCAGAGCCTGACGTGGGGCTCGAACTCACGGACCGCGAGATCGTGACCTGGCTGAAGTCGGACGCTTAACCGACTGCGCCACCCAGGCGCCCCGAGAACTTTTTTTAATGTGCGTTTTTATTCTTGAGAGAGCGCCAGCGCGGGAGGGGTGGAGAGAGGGGGACACAGGACCCCAGGGGGACCCTGCGTTGACAGCAGCCAGTCCGATGCAGAGCTCGTAGTCACGAACCGGGAGATCGTGACGTGAGCAGAAGTCAGATGCTCAACTGACTGAGCCACCCAGATGCCCCTGGGCACAGAGAATTTAAGTGAAAAAAGCGTCCCACGGCTTGGATGAGTCTGCTAGGGCTGCCTCGCAAAAGTGCCACAGACTCGGGGCTTACCCTACACAAGTGTATTTCTTCACAATTCCAGAAGCTGGAAGTCCCAGGTCAAGGTATCAGCAGGGCTGGTTCCTTCTGCGGTCACTCTCCTTGGCTTGTAGATGCCACCTTCTCCCTGTGTCCTCACGGGGTCTCCCCCCCTCCCCGCCCTGTGTGACTCTGTCCTAATCTCTTCTTATAAGGACACAGTCACAATGGATTAGGGCCCGCCCTAATGACCTCATTTAACTGAACTAGTTCTAGAAAGTGACGGTCTCCAGTCAACTTTGAGGTCCTGGGGGTTAGGACTTCAACATATGAATTCGAGGGGGACACAGAGGCGGACCCAGGATTTGAACCCAGGCTGGTGGCTCCAATCTCCTGCAGCTCGCAGAGAATTGCCACAGTGACTGACAGAGACGAGGCCGGAGGAGTCCCGGAGCAGGGGACACCTGGAGGGGGTGACAGGGAGCGATGGTTGGTGTCTCCCAAGTCCAGCCCCGCCTCACGGCTCTCTAAACCCTGGGAACCCTACATTCTCTGGGAGCTCTCAAACTCCAAACGGATCTCCTTCCGTGGCCAGGAGTCTCCCCTGCCCTGGAGCAGAGCAACAGACCTGGGGCCAGAAGAAAAGATTCTCCTCTCCCCCAGGCACCTTGCTGGGTCTTTCCCCCAGGGTCCGTCCAACACTGCAAGTGAGTGAGCGTTATCTCCAAGAGGAGAAAACAGAGGCCAAGTTCTCTGGGGTCCTTCTTTTCCTCTCCCCCTTGGACCCACCCTGCCGGAGAGTTTTGTAACTGGGGGGATCCGCGTCAGTTATGGGCTCTGACAATTCTACAGCCAAAAACACTGAGGCTCAGAGCAGGAATACGATTCATTGCAGCCACAAAACGTATTCTGAGTGGGACCAGGATACCCAGCTGGAGTGTGAACCTAGGCGGGTAGGGATTGTGTCTCCGTCTCCCTGAATCCCCAGAATGGAAAAGCAGATGAGCGCAAAGTAGACCTTTCCCACATATTTGTTTGAAGAATGAATGAATGAATGAATGAATGAACAATGAACAAACTAATGCCCGGCCCAAGCCCTTGTTTTAGCCCCAAATCACCCAAGAAAGAATGGGTTCTATTCATTTTCCCCTTCACTCTCCATAACAGGACACCAGATTTTAACACAAAACCGGCCCAAATAAATATATTTTCCAGTTTCCCTTGTAAGTGACTAAGCTTTGGACAATACTAAGTTCGAACTAGAAGTAGCTGAAATCTAAGAAATATGCTTAAAGGGAGGAAGGATGCATAAATAAATTTGCTGCCTTGTTAATGGTGGCAAGAATGAGATGCAACGGTTGGGGCTCCAGCAGCCACGATGGACCATGAGGTAAACTTCAGAATGAAATGTAACAACAATGAGAGAAGAAACCTGGGTCATTGATCATGGGGCAGAAGTCTGACCCAGACAGGTTTACTTTGGAGGGGTCTGTCCTGCCACCTACCAGTTATTTAAACAGGCAAGAAATTCCTTCAATCAGCTTACCAGTTCAGGGACCTTGGAGAAGCAGCCATCTTAACTCTCTGAGCCTTAGTTTTGTCACCTGTATAATAGGTGACAAATTATCCCTAATAATAGGGATACTAATACTGACCTCAAAGTCTGCTAAGAGCCTGGAGCCTGCTTTGGATTCTGTGTCTCCTTCTCTCTCTGCCCCTCCCCTGCTTATGCTCTGTCTCTCTCTGTCTCTCAAAAATGAATAAACATTAAAATTTTTTTTTATTTTCTCATGGAATCAGAGATACCCGCGGGCAAAATTGTAATGGGGCGTTGAAGGCCAGTCTGGAGTGGATAAATGGATTTCATCTCTCCCACCTGGCGGTGGATGAGAAATGGCCACCTGGAGTATATTGTATTGAGAATTCTCTGTGTCATATCGACTAGTGATGTCTGTCCTTCATAACAACTAGTGATGTCTGCCCTGGGCAGAGAACAAAAATGGGAACATATACACACGGTTAGGGCATTTGTCATCCCTGAGCTGGTTCCTTGGTTAAACCCAGTAAAGCTAGTGAATAGCTAGGTACTAGCTCAGAGCCCTCCCCTTGGTGTAGGTCTCCTCCAGGTAGAGCTGAAAGTTCCATGTTCAAAGATCCTGTGTTAAGTTACCCAGAACTTAGCACAGAAGACTAAGCTCTTGACACACCTTGTTTCTGACCTCCCAACAATCTCGCAAGCTAGGCACAAGTATACCCATCCTACAGGTTGGGGAAACTGATTTCTGAGAGTAAAAGCGACTTATCAGGACCTTTCAGTGACTGTTACGAGGCAGAGCTGGAATCTTCCGTTCAGCCACACTGTGATCCCATGAGGCTGACAGTTACAGAAGCTTTCTTTCTCCTCTGCCCTTGCTGAGTTATCCAGGCAACATCCTCGGCCCCCATTTGGCTTTGACTCTGGGACCCAGCCTTGGCTTCCACCACGGACAGTTGTGTGGTTCCTCCGGTGGTTGGGAAACACCTGTGTTTGGGCCCACACAGGTCAGCTTGGGGTAGGAACACGTTCTTCCCGGACTCATCTGTAGTCATTGCTCTGCATGCAGAGACAGGGCTGGGTGCTGACTCAGGGCTGCCTGGATGGTCTGGGGTTGTTTGTTCTAGCAGAACCGGGAGCTTTAAACCCTGCATTATCTCCTCCAGCTCCTTGCCTGTGGGCCAAGAACCCAAGGGGCCTGAGTGGGTTCATCACGGGGGTTCAGGAGCCTTCTCTCCCCTCTCACTTCGGTTCCCTCTCCTTTGTACTGCTTTTGTGCTAATTTTGCTACTGTTTCGACGTTAAGTCAACTTGGATAAGGAATATATTCTAATAGCTTAACAAATAAGCAATGTAAAGCGGGACGCGTGAACATTTCTTATTCCCACTCCTGTCTCTCCATTGTGCTCCCAACCACCACCCCCACCCCACCCACCATAAAAAACCATTTATCTTACTTTTGCGTATATCCGTTCTGAGTTTCCTGGAGAAAACACACTCCTGTATGAACATCTACGATTATCACCCCACTTCACGGAAGAAGTTTATTTTTGTAATCATGATTCTTTTTTTTTTTTTTTTTTTAAGCAGGCTCCACACCCAATGTGGGGTTTGAACTCCCAGCCTTGAGATCAAGAGTTGCATGCTCTACCCACTGAGCCACCGGGCTCCCCCTCCCTGATCATCACCCCTGCTTCTATTGTGTGAAAATTAGCACGTTGTTTACCTCACCTTGCACCGTGTTTATTTCAAGGAACAATAGTCCCTGACGCTCATAACACATAAAGAATATCCTAGTGTTTTTTTGACATTACGTGCATTCCACTGAACGGATCACTAGAGAATCTGATTAGTGTTCACTTGATAGATACTAGGTATGTTTCCAGCTTTTCACCACAAACAATGCTGCAATATCACGTGTCACTTGGTAACTGAGCAAGATTTCCAGTTGGGTAAAATCCCCCAAAGTGGGATTGCTGGTTCAAAGGGTAAACGCTTTTTATAACTTTCCTAGTATTGCCAAACTGCCCTCCATAAACTTGTACCGATTTACAGTCTCACCAGCAATAATCCAGTTTCCGCCCAATGTCACCAACAGAACGTGTTGTTAATATTTAATTTTTAAAACCGATCTGATAGGTGAGAAGTGGTCCCTCCGTACTGTTTGATTTGATCATCTTTTATGTCGTGTCAAGCTATGCATGCCTTCTTCATGTGTTTGAAAGCGGTCTGTATTTTGTACTAAAAACTTTCTATTGATATCTTTTGCCCAGTTTTGGATTTCTAGTCTTTGTCTTGTTTGTTCCTGAGAGCTCTTTCCTTAGGAATATTGGAATATTCAAAGTGCCCTATGCAGGGCACAGTATGCATAACTGAGCCAGTGGTCCCAATAGGAACCGAGAAGAGCTCCGAGATAGAATCGGCACGATTCAGTTGGCTGCCTGAGGTGGACGAGAAAGAGGGAGGAGTGAGGACGATGCCTTGGTTTCCGGCTTGAGCAAATCTGAGCCTGGAGAAGCTATTCACAGAGACCGGACACTCTAGGGGGGTTGACAGAGAGATTCTGAACCTGGTTTCAAGCAAGTTGAGGTACGTGGGGTACATGGTCTTGGAGACGTCCCGTGGGCGACTGGTTACATCTTTCTGGAAAAGAAGGAAAAGTCTGAGCTAATCTGGAGAGCTCAGCCTGTTGTAGGTGGCCTGTCAAGACAGGGCGTATCCCTTCACCTTCCACAGGTTAGAAATGTCTTCCCCAAGATACAGTCATGGAAGTTCTGGGCCAGTGGTTCCGAACTGGGGTGATTTGGCCTCCAGGGGACATTTGGCAATGTCCGAAGACATTTTCAGTCTTTCGAACTAAAGAGATGTATCTGATTCTACCGGTATCTCTAGAAGCCAGTGATGCTGTTAAACACCCAACAGTGCACAGGGCAACCGACACAAGTCCAGATTGTCAGTGGAATAAAGTAATCTGATACACAAAGCAACGTTAAGGCCCCAGCGACTGAGACCTCAATGCGCTACCACAGGGACTGAGTTCATATCCTGAGTCCCACTTCCCCGCTGAGTGACTTCTGGCAAGTCACTTCCTCCCCTAAGCCTCAGTTTTCCCATCTTTAGAATAGACATAAGCCATCCTACCTCATTAATGTCTTAGGAGGATTAAGTAAAACACTGTATGTTAAAAACCTGGCACATAATACATTCTCAACCCATGTTAATTTTTTCTCTTTCCCTACAAATCCCCTGCCCAAGGGGCACACCTTGGGCGTGCCTGCCTTCCTCAGCCAGGGCACTGATGCCATCCAGATCTCAGTTCAACTCTGAGCCACACAGCAGGGCTTCCCAGATGGCCTCTATCCAAAGATGCCCACACCACATTCTCCTCTATCACACGAACCTGTTTCCCGTTTGCTCCGTGGCAGTCAGCGCTGATGGAAGAAGGTGTTTCCGCCAGCTCGTCTGTTGCCTGGTTTCCACAGGAGGCTGGAAGGCCAGGAGGACAGGAACCCCAGCTGTTTTTGTCACTACTGTGTCCTCTGTGCATAAAACAGTGCCTGGCACATAGTGGACACTCAGTACATATTTTGCATACGAATGACTCCTCCACAGCAAAAAGAGACAAAACAGGCCGAGCAAAGCTATAGTCACAGCCCTCTGCTACTTGGAGCAAAGCGTCTTCAGGGACAGGTGGGGTGGCGGGGAGGGAGGTGGCCCAGGGAGGTGGGACAAAATAGGGGGATGTGCTCTGGTCCTGGGAGACGTGGCCCTGCTCTGGGCGCTCACTAAAGCCCCAGCACAGCCCCAGCTCCCCTGGCTTCTCCAGAAACCACAAAAGCCCGCCGAGAGAGCAGAGGCTTAGATCAGGTCTGACACATCACCCGGCTCCCCGAGCCCCCGGGGGCCCTGGGTGAGCAGACGTCGTGCATGAAGAAGTTCTGAGAGTGAATACCCACAGGCTTCGTGCATCTCCGAAGCAGCTGGAGGCCCAGGGTTCTTTGTGCAGGAGGCTGGGCCACGTGGGCTCCTGCAACCTGGAAGCTGAGCGGGTCCTTCCCTGCCCGCTCCCGGACATACCCACGTCCGGACAGGGGACAGAACTTGCCCACGGCACGTGGTGAGCCAGTGGCCGGACCAGGATCCCAGACAAGGCTTAAAACCAGATTGAATCGTCAGGAAGTGATTTCCACTGGGCTTTTTGCTCCCATGCCCATGACTTAAATTGCAACAGCACGTGTCAAAGGCAAGCCTTGCCTCTGCCGTGGCTGCCGACCTCGGTGGGAGTCTGACGAGGCTGACGCTGGCTATCCGGGAGCCCGTGCCTCTGCCCAAACACCCAACAAGAATTCATTCACTCAAAAGTAATTCAGGAGCTCTGCCGGCCTGGGAAGTGGGGAAACAGGAACAAGACGCTGTCCTTGACCTTGAGAGGTTCTCAGTCTGCTAATGGAGGCAAACGTGTGGGGAGAGCCTTCTCCCTGGAGGATGCCGATGGGGTTTCAGACAGCCAGAGAGAACTCTGTCGAGGTAGGGTAACCGAGGCAATGAGTCCAGAGAAGCTCGAGCATAAGGCTCAAGTCAAGGTGAGGGAAGCAGGCGAGATAACGGTGGCTCTTCTGTAACTTGGAGGCTCTTATTGATGTCATCTGCCAGGTGTTCCCCTTCTCTGGACAGACTTAGGGTACTCGAGAAGCACGACTCCCTCGCCACCTGAAGCAAGGTGTGGCCATGTGACCCGGCTTGGCCAATGAGGTGCGAGCAGGAAGTGGTGGGTGGGGCTTCCGAGCTGGAGCTCTGAGAGCCGGGGCAGGTCACTCTCCCCGCGACAGTGAGCGGCCACGCTCCTGATGGGGTGGTCCTGTCAGCCCCGAAAGGTAGGACAACATAGTGTGTGACCCTCACCCAGTCTACCAGACACACGGGGCAGGTAAGAAATAAAACTTTGTGGTTTAAAGCACTGAGATTTGGGGTTTTACTTCTGCACAGTCCAGTGCAGCTTGAGCAATACGACCCAAACCCGAACGGTCTCGCTCACAAGTTCTGGGATTTCACCACTAGGAATTTCTTTCGCCAGAGTCGGGATTGATACGTCTCACTGTGTTAGGCGGGTTTGGCCAGGCTATGCAGCAATGACAAAAATCCTCGATGTCTCAGGGACTTCTCATAATAAGTGATTTCTTGCTTAGATCAAAGTCAGATCTGAGTCAGGGGGCCCTCCCCCTTGTAGTACCTGTGCCACTGGGAGCACAGTGGCCGGCAAGGTCGCTGTAGGTGAGAAAAGGGAGTGAGCATGAGGGCTTGAAACTGATACCCAGTCACCTGTGCTCACACTCTATGGACCAGAAATAGATAGATGGTCCCAAACTTAACCTGAAAGGGATCGCGTTGCTAACCCCTTCTGCACTGGAGTGGCTGTTAATGCATGCATACTAAAATGCTATCACTGTTGGGGCGCTTGAGTGGCTCAGTTGGATGAGAGTCCGACTTC